TCAACTATTTTGGGTAATGATTACTTACTGACAATTCAGAATTAAAGTATTGTCTACAAGACTACGACATGGTAACAATTTGTTGTTAAAGGGGCTTCTATTATAGTCAATTATCAATTCCCTTTGATGACACGTGCGAATTCACATAATTTGGAAACTTGATTGACAGTATGCATTGACTCAGACTCTTTGGTGCCGAAATGAATAGGTCATCATGGTATTATGTACATGTTTGCGTCAAGGTTGACGTTGACTTCTGGCGAGGTGTGCATTTAATTCATTTGTGATTTAAATCCGAAGATATAATACTTCAGGTGTGATTTACCGATTTACAATGCATTGTGAAACTTATTTGTCAGAATGGGAATGGATATTTTAATGGACAAAACCTTTCGCCCACGGTAAGACCAACATCTATGTGTATAAATTTTGAATGTCTTAAAAATGTCGAACATATTGATGAAGTAATGAATCGTACAGCCATAACTCTGTTTATTATATTATATAAAAGCCTGCCAATTTTTGATATTTGTTATATTTTCAATGTAAGACAGCAAAATCTGCGTGTCTAACCGTGTTAAATTAACAATCTTTTTTTGCATGCCGTATTAGCTGATATTCGACTACGATATGATGACTGCGGTGCAATTGCACTATAAATAAACCTAGCTATTTTAAAACATTTACATGTACGGATGTGCTGACTGTACATGCATGGAAAGTCCGACTTAAAGGGGCACGGTGCGATATAAGGGATGGTTTTTGTGCCAAATTAAAAAAAATATCACCACCGGTTCAACGAATGATTTTAACAGAATATGTCACCTGCGAATATGATGATTAAGTATTCTTTTCACACGGCGCATACGCTAACCTTTAAGTCTGTGCAGATTCAAAAATTGAATTATCTTTTATATCCACATTTTTAAATCCCGAGTTTTATCGTAAATAAAATTAATAGAAAGTATTGTTTACAAGAATACGACATGGTAACAATTTGTTGTTAAAGGGGCTTCTATTTTAGTCAATTATCAATTCCTTTTGATGACACGTGTGAATTCACGTAATTAATTAGGAATCTTGACTGACAGTATGCATTGACCCAGACTCTTTGGTGCCGAAATCAAGGTATTATCCGACTGATACATGTGTTCAGCAAGGTTGACGGTGACTTCTGGCTATGTGTGGTTGAAAACAGGAGATGAAGGCATATATTACTTGTTCGGGTGTGATTTATCAATTTAAAATGCATTGTGTGACATATTTGTCCGAATGGAAATGGCTATTTCGATGGACAAAACTTTCGCTAACGGTAAGACCAGCATCTATGTGTGTAAACTTTGAAATTTTCGTAATTTGAATGAGTTTGAAATAGAAGATCGATGCGCAAGTCTTAAAAATGTCGAACATATTGATGAAGTAATGTACGGTACAGCCATAATTCTGTTAATTTTATTATTTAAAAGCCTGTTTGATTTTTGTTATCTTTCAATATAAGCCAGTAAAATCTGCGTGTCTAACCGTGTTAAATTAACAATCTTTCTTTTGGCATGCCGATATTCGACTACGATATCACTGCCGTTGAATCGCACGATAAATAAACCCATTTCAAACCAGCTATGGATGTGCCGACTGTACATGCGTGGAAAGTCCGACTTTTTAAAATTTCGCGGTGGGCGGCGGTTTAAAATAATCGCGGAGGTCGGCGGTTTATTTAAATTCGCGGAGGAATTTTAGAGCGGAATTTTGAGCGTGGCCAGAGCGGATTGATTGACTGACGTCCGCGATTTTTCATTTCCGCCCAGGTCGGACCTCGGGGAAATTTAGAACTTCCGCTTGAAGTGTACTGTATATCGTCCAGGCAGTCAACAAGAGTTGTCGCATATTTTTACTTTTTTCGGTAATGAAACATTTATAAAACATTAAAATCTGATTAAGAGTAACAACTCATTAAGTAATTATCAGAAAACCATTAGAATTTTTTTATAAAGTTCTGCCCCATGCTAACGTTTAGTATACAAAACTTTTAACATCATGGATTTAGCTGTTCAAGTCATAAAGATTCATTGAAAATCAATATACTTGTTTGTCTCAAGATCTTAAACTCTGTGTTTCAATCTGAAGTCAATCGGATGATAACTTAGCCTCTAGAGCATCACAAGATTTTTCAAAGTGATCAAGGGCCATAACTCTGGCAGCAATTATCCGAAATCGTTGAAAATCAATATGATTCTTTATCTCATGGCCTCAAACACTGTGTATAAATTTAAAGTCAATCGGATATTAACTTTAGCCTTTAGCAATTGTGGAGGCAGGACCGCCGGACGCCTGGACGGGGCCGACAACTGAATATACGACGACATTTCAATGTGGGCGTATAAAAACTGGGAGATAAACCTGTGAATACTTTGTGAATTTTTAGTAGTTAATCATCCTCACGGGAACATAGCGATGGACGATGAAAAATCTATTCAACTGTGACACCATCCATTCAAGAATTTTCTAATTGGCATAATCTGAACTCATTTCCAGCCAAACAAACACAAAATATTTTACTTTTTAACATAAACATACTAATACATTGTTACTACTAATTTTAATAGCCAAAATATGTGTTCAAAAACAAACCATTATAATTTACATTCTTTTAAAAACAAAATGACTCCTCTTATAACACAATCACACACATAATTTGAAAGCCATCACTCTTCCTTTTGTCAAAGTTCAATCAATGATAAAAAATCCACCAAAAAAACTATCTAGAATATCCATTATCTGTTGGTCATTCCTATGGAAACCACGTCTGCCACCCACGGTTTTTCAAATAAATGTTTTAGTCCTGTATTTTGTTTTTTTACAGCAACTCATCAGGTGTCAAGCAGTAAAAACTATGACTGCCACGCAGGATTTTCTTCTTTATCATGGGAACACACCCAGAGACCTTGTTGGTCAATAGCACCATAACAAATACATGTAACTTGATGCACCATAACAAATACATGTACAGTAACACTTTATAGTGATAACAAGAGAGCAGTTCAGGAACATACATACTAACAGAAACATAAATTAAACAGGATTTACACCAGGAATATAAACAATTACATTAACACAGTATATGAATAGTTTAAGAACCATTCCACTCCTCTGCCACGGCAGCAGCTGAACTTATGTGAGTCCATACACCGGCCTCCGCTCCTCTCCCATCTGTCCTAACTACAGAAAGCACCGGGTCTTAAATACTCTCGTATAACTACATGTACATGTAACTACATGTATGCAAATTCTATTGTCACTACATGTTGAAATTGTTACGTCCGTAATTAAATGTGTGTCTAGTGGACAATATATCTCATCATATCATAGATCAAGAACGTATGGGGTTCAACGGATTCGCACATGTGGGGTTCAAATTGATTCTATGCATCTAAATAAATACTTTACATGCATACAATATAATCTTAATATGATACAAGTTATGAAGCACTTTGTCAGACATGTTCCACGACAGATATCGACTGAACCGAACACAAAATCGAAGATTTTCCCACATAATACATGTATTATGCTATGGTAGATCTAGACTAGATCTAATCTAATAAAAAAAAAAAAACTAGAAAAAAACAAACCTACCTACCCTATTTTCCATCCGTTACAAGAAACATAACCCCTTTTTTTGGCCTTACTAACTTAAATAACATATGTAAATCTAATACAGATCAGATGATAATTTTAGTCGTTAGAGCATTCACAAGGTTCAACAAAGTGAAACAAGGACCATAACTCTAGAAGTAATTAATGAAAATTGTTGGAATTCTATAGGTTTCTTCAGCTCACTAATGTAAACAGTGTATATATACATGTATATATACATGTATGTATATAAAACTCATCAGATAATAAATGTAGCCTGCAGAATGTGCCATAAAGTGACATCTCAATCATTTCAATTTTCAATCATAGATCAATTAAATCCATAGTGGGCAACTATTTAAACATATGAATTATCAATTATCACTTCAGGAACCATTTAATACTAAACATACATGTAAAACAATGTAAAACTATCTTCAAAACTGTGATTTAGGATAAAAAGTTAATATCAATTCAGTTTTTGATAATGAACTACCATTATTGTTGTCCGGGGATGAATTGTTCTACGGTACAAATAGTCATGAGACGAATTGTCTTTGGGGACGAATTGTCCTTGGGGATGAGTTGTCTGGGGATGAAAAGCCATAGGGGACGAATACATGTAGTCCTAGGGTATCAATAGTCCTGGGACAAATTGTCCAGGGGAACCAGTTGTCTGGGGAAGAATTGTGCAGGGACGAATTTTTTTTGAGGGGGGGGGGAACCGTCCTAGAGCCGTATGTCACTACAGCAAAATTGTTATAATATAGGGCAATACCGGTAGGGGGGCAAACAATATCACAATAATTGCATTTTTTAAGTCATACATGTATATGTTTGTTTAAAACAAGATAAAATAAAGCCTCAAAATACATGTCATTATATACCAAGTTCTAACATCGTAATTTTGTTACCATGTGATGTTTGTGTCAATCATGTGACATCCACGTTGGTCACTTTTGAAAAATGTTGGTCCATTGCGTTGAAATTTTTCGTTTGCGGGAAATTGAAAAAAGCTATAAAACACTTATTTTTTGTTAGATGCCAACAAATCTTAGTCGGGCTGCGCTTGGATTTAAACACAGGTTCAGAAAAAATTGCCTCAAAAAAAAATGAATAAAAAAAAGGAAATGGTGCACATGGTACATTACATGTATTTGCATATAAAATCATATTATAATATATACTGTGCTATATATATATGATCATAAAATATATTATACATATTATCACACATTGACATACAATGTATTGTGTATGTAATACAATGTATAACTACAGTACAAATATGCATCTAATTATTTTTGTAGTATTATGATATAAACTGGGTGGAAAAATCAATCATGCATTCATGTAGTTTTGCCTACCTCTTGCTGATAATTTCTTGGTATTTATAATTTTCGCAGCGAATTCTAATCCTGAAGCTTTCTGTACACATCGTCTCACGATTGAAAATGCTCCTCTGAAATAGTAGAACACAAATCAATAGAATAAACTAGGTTAATCCAGTTACAGAATAAGTTCCCGTGTTTAGGAAAGGCTTGTTACCGTTAGCACATAAAATTACACGATCCTAATAACGTGGAAACGGTTAAAAAACTACAACCCATTTCGTCGCCTGAATTGTCGAACGCTATATAGATGCCAAGACTGAAAGAAATCGACGACTGAAATCCTGTCTGGCTTGTTCGCACCATCACTCCTTTTATTTCATACATACATTCCCGTATATCCAGGCAATAGATAGAATAATTATTCTATGTTATCACCCCACAAAATGTTACCCTAAACATCCACTTACTTCCCTAATTCTTCTTTTAATTCATATATGTCGTTAAACTTTACTAACGACGTTTGGCCCGCCATGATGAATGCTAAATTACCAGCTTCGGTTACTCTCGAGATTTCTCGTTTAGGAAGAGCATAAACGAGACCAGCGAGCTGTTCATTGAAATAGCAGACGACAAAATAAATTAGGGATTCGGGGATTGTGAGCATGCTTGATTTATTTGTTGGATTCGCATTGTGTTCTGTCGCGGAGGTAGGTAAGCTATTAACTAGTTACTTGGTCAACTATCCATATCAGCCATAATCAGGTGAGACCCGAATATTGTGATACAAGTTGTCTGTTGTTACACTAGTATCGAATATTCCATGGTAGCCATTGATTGGCAGTGCAACAATGCCCAGCAAAACACAGCCCAGTCAATCCAGAATGTCACACTGCTTGGCTAAAACTTTTTAATCGAGACACTGCACATAATGCCAAATTAGAAATTAGATAGGCTAGAAAGTAACCCTCTTTATTTCCCAGAAATGTGATAAGCGAAGGACTAGCTATATCAGCCAAGGCACAGGCTATTTAGCATTAATATTCAAATAGGTCGCGCATTACTACGCTCGGCGATAATATAAAGATCTCCCTTATGAAAACACGCCTTCTCGGCCCGATAATGGATAACATACAAATTGGGTCGTTTGAATTAACCATGCAGGGACGTGTGAGCAATTATATAATTAATGTTGAACACCATATGAAATAATGTAGGTGCAATATTTTATAAAGAATTTATAGCAGGCCTTACGTTACAATTATGAACAGCCGCATGTAACAATTATAGACCTTCTGTGCATCCTTCTCCCACTTTACGTCCAAGTTAATATGTACTTAAAGTTAAATAATAATAAAAATAATTAGACCCCAAAACTCACGAAGTACAAAATAGAAGAGTGATCTCCCCTGATAATATTTCATGTTAAAACAATTATCTCATAACCCCTGTCACTATACGTATTACTTCTTAAGCCAGGGACGGAATACGACCCGATGCCCATGCGCCAGGCCCCGTGAGAGCACTCAAGGAAATACCGATGTTTTTTTTCTCCCCCAGGCGCGAGGCTGTGTTTGGAAAAATGACTAACTGGTGCCTTCTAGACCATATTCTGAGTAGCATACCGGTCTCCAGTGACTGCTTTTCTTACTATTTCAACAAACACCGGCGAGGGGGCGGGGGGCAACCTCCCCTGCCTGCGCAGAGAACATGATCATATTGGGGTTTTTTCCACCTACATGCATCGAAATAACGTCGAACAAACGTACGAAGCATTGCCTCACTCCGCCCCAGTCTTATAAATATATATGCACCTAAATGAGCAGAAACCATGTCCCAGAGCTTCTGATTTTATAAAATTCTCGGGCAATCCCTCAGACCACACACCAGCTTCATGTTGTCCACATCTTGTGTAAAGTTTATTTGACAAACGCTCCCTTGTAGATTTATCGAAGTCTGTTCAGAAACCAGCAGTCTTCGTAAAGACGTGCAGTGTAAAATGTTTCCAAACTGTTAATGTGAACATTTGCCAAAAATTAAGTGCCAGGCGATAATATTTAGCCATTTGTGTTTTTTAGAAAAAAGTCGAGATACATTTACTGTTTAATATTAGCCAGCGATTTTTTTTCTTTTAGAATATCCGTGCATGTGAACGTCTAAGGCTTACTTTAAGCAATCTTTTATATTTTATTAATAATATGCTATCTGACACATCTTTGAAAAACTAATTCCTTTAAATACAAATTTAGTCGTGTTATCAGACTATTTTGCTATTATACTGACACACTTAAGATGACCTTTCTGATACCTATTAGATTCATGTTTTTAAATGCAGCCCTCCAACGTTTCGCTCATCGCTTCGCTCGTGTCTGTGTTTCTAGATCAACTGCGTCTATTGATTCTTACTCTGTACAGATAACTGGCAAAAGTTATGCATGTAAAATAACATGGCATCAAATATATTTGATAACCGAAGATCCTTAACTGTATTTTATTCGTTATTCAGAAGATTTGTTATATATCGCTCTTGTTTAGACATGTAAATAACGACAATAATATCAACAAAATATAGCGAAAACCCCACTCATTGCATCTTTCTCTACTTTGATAATCCTTGAGTCTACGACAGATATTTCTATACACTCTTTGAGTTTAGGCTTTGTTGAAATGCTATTATATGTTGATTTATGGCATGCTGCATACATTCCTTTGATTATAATATTGAATGACAATAGTATTCAACAATATGATTTGAATGTGTTTTAAGCACACTTCTACTTGTTTCTAAGACGACAGTTAAACATTACTTACATATTATAGTTTAGCTGCACGACAGTTATTGATGATTCAAGTTAATAATTAATGTCCCATGCTTCTCTTATTGTCAAAATGTCTGTCAGACTATCCCTCTATATAGTATAATTTCAGAAACGTGACAATCTAACTCAAGCTTCACGTTACAATATTGTAAAATCACTAGCACCGCTTAAGCAAAATTAATGTAGACCTTCTGTGATTAGGACAATGAGTGGAGTTTTAAGCTTCTACACAGAATGTGTAGTGAGCTACTTTTTATATCACGTCTTACGCCCCCCCCCCTCCCTACACCATCAAATGTATTAATGCATTTCATATTGAACTATACACTATTTTTTCTATTCTGGGCCATTTTTCAAACTGTATTTCCTACTCTTAACCGGACGCTCTTTATACAAGAGTTGTCTATTTATGCCTTCAAATTGTTGATTGGCTGACCGTCATCCAAATTAACTGCAAAATAAAGTCTAGTAAGGGCACTGCCCTTGTTCAGTTTGTAGGAGCTTGTGAAGGCCCTACTTAAATTGATGTACTTTGTTTGTTGTTTATTACAAAACTAACTTCCAATACATAAGACATGATATTATGGACAGGTGGATTTGATTAAGTCATTTACCTATGGCTGAGTAATATATAGAAGATAGGTAAAACACTAAAAAATAAAAATTTCTTGTATATCTAAAAGTCACTTTAAAATCGCTGTCGCGAGAAGAGAGGGCGGGTCATCTTCTCACTTTGTCATAATGAAAACAAGATAAATCAGGAGGTCCAGCTGTTTGTTGCAATCGCAGCGGATTGAAAAAAACCTGTGGGAAAAAGAATCCGCTGTTTATTGTGGAAAAGCGAAGTTCTCGCAGTAAAAACCACATAGCTGGATCCGTGGAGTATTTACAAATAAAAATGTTCGCGTGGTTCTTTCCATATAACAAAAGTTAGTTAAAAAGTCCTTTGACACAGATCACAACTTCGGTATTCAAAATCATTTATTTTCTGCAGTCCATTAAAAAATTTCTTCGTGTGTGACTCTTCCCAGATAAAAGATACCTGATAAGGAAAAGAAGAACCAGCAGCAACACAGAGTAGAACAATTTAAACATTTATAACAATAGTACATTACACTAAATACATATTATTGTATTTAGTTAATAAAGGGTTGTGTAGATCCCTATTCCTTTTATCATTATTATTCGATTATACTATTAAATCATACAGTAGACTGAACCACCATACTGCCCCTCAACAACAGTTCCTTCCTTTGTAACTATTATGCAGTCCCCTATCTTAATATCAATCTATTCTGCAACCTGCTAAACAGTTAATTCCCGATTCTGCTATGAATTTTGAGATCGCTTCGTAAATTGTATATGATATATTCCGAGGAGGGCATTTTGGAAAGTATATTGAAGTTTGGCCCTCCAAAATGTCCTCTCACCCGCTCGGAATATGTCATATAAAATTTATGGGAGAAGAGGACATTTTGGAGGGCCAAACGGTGTGTTCCCACTTAGCCGGCAGACTGTTAATCCTTTGATTGATCTTAAAACTATAGTCTGTTTAAAAGTAGTCACTCAAGAACTGTTCACTAGTGTTCAGCGTTAATGAGCTCTTAATCCCTCTTAATAAAATTTATTAACCAACTAATTAATGACATTTTGAACACAGTTCATGCAGGCGTTATGATTTCAAACATGAATTCAATTCACTATATTAATATAAATAGATGGTCGATCTGTGTCGAAATTATACTTATTTTAAAATGGCAAACGTTCAGGTTAATATTCGCTTTATCTCCAATAATCGAGGTGGCCGATATTTAATACACAATGGTTACAAGGGAACACCCCGGCCAAACTTCAATATACCCTCCATAATGTCCTTTGTTTGTTTTTCTAAATTAACTCTTTGTTTTTCTAAATCAACTCTTTGTTTTTCTAAATCAACTATTTATCTAAATCACCTATTATCTAAATCACCTATTTATCTAAATCACCTATTTAACTAAACCAACTATACTCTTCAAAAAAGGATATTGAAATGCAAATACCTATGCAGGTTGTGATATGATAAATAGTCATGGACAATTGACATGCTTTGAGAGTATGTTCACAATAGACGAACTTATTGCCCCAACAGAACCACTCTGCACATGCGTAACGCAATAGCGCCATACACGTGAGGGGGGTTCATTGTCAAATTTGACACTTCAAGTAAGGGTTGATGAAAACTGCCGTTTGCTGGTTTATCCTATCCATGTTTGCTTTCCTATGAGTTCTTACATAAGATTTATTGTTTAGCGTATCTTTGCTTTAGCGTGTTACGTTTAATTTGATCGGGAGACGTGTTCGTCGACGTCAACGACAACCGACAACATTGCAAGAATTGGCCGTGGTACTGCAAGAGGAGTGGGTCAGATTGCCCCAAGTCGTGATTGGACGGTTGATTAGGAGCATGCCGCGACAAATGTCTGGTGGAGCAATTACTCATTATTAAGACAAAAATCAAAAACGTCCATTTTCACTTTTGACAGTGTGTCTCTTTGCGAGTGAAATGAGCATCAGATAAGCCGCCCATATGAACTGTTTATGTTCATGTGTAGCTGTTATTAACATACACTGGTTACCTCTAATAAAAACAGTTGTGCATTTCCACAGTTTTAAATTGTTTCTGAATATCCCCTACTTTTTTAAAGAGTATATATTTATCTAATGAGGACGTACACATTCCGTTCCATGGGGATTCTGTATTAAATTTGGGGAAATGTTTGTTGTACTTTTGCATTTAAACC